GGGAGGGAGCGGGTGACACAGGTGACAGAGTGTGTGATATGTGGCAGAGTGATAGAGGGATGGGGTGGCAGAGTGAGGGAAGGGGTGACTGGTGGTAGAGTGACTGAGGGAGGGAGGGGCAGAGTGAGGGAGGGGGAGGCAGGTGATAGAGTGGGGGACATAGAGAGTGACACAGCAAGGAAGGGGGTGACACAGTGGAATGGGGTGACAGGTGGCAGTGTGACTGAGGGAGGGGGTGACAGTGAAGGAGGAGATTGTAATTTTAAAAATACCTTAATTTTTTTCCCCTGGTGGTCCAGTGGGCTGTCTCTCCAATCTGCCCGTCGGGTGTGAGCTGTAGACTGTGCAGTATCTTGAGATATCCAGAAGTCAGAGTGTTGCCGTAGTAACTGGCGGCAACGCTCCGATTGGCCAGAGATCGCAACACTACACAGTCTGCAGGTCACACCAGGCGGAGATGCAGACTGTGCTGGCTCTCTGCCCCCCAGGGCAGACTGGAGGGGCCTCGCACTCGGCGGCATACCAGGCAAGCCGCCGGGCCCCCTCCTGGTGTCGGGTCCTCGGTGAAGGACCGAGGACCTGACACAGTCTGCCTGCCCTGTGGCAAGTTAGGTGGCCTTGAGGCCTAATTAGAGAGCCGCCGGCCCACCAAAAACGGCAAAATGCCGCCCCTGTCAGAGTGCCGCCTGGAGCCGTGGCTCCACCCCAGGCTATGGATGGGCCGGCCCTGACACAGATACACACATGCAGATATATAGACACACAGATACACAGGTACACACAGTGACACACATAAATATACACAGACATTTACGTAGTCACTCACAATGACGCACATACAGATAAGCATACAGACACACAGATACACACATTGACACACAAATAGACACACACTGACACACATGTAGATTCAGACATATACACACTGACACACATGCAGATACACAGACACACAATTAGACACATACAGACATACATTGAGACCAAAATGTACACATTAGTAGCCACCCTCATGTTTCCTACCTTTTGGGTGCAGGAGGGTGGTTTCTACTGGCGGAGGCTGTTAATAGGTAGGAGTGGCTCTCACCATCCACGCCCCCACTCCTCTGTGCCTTCTCCTCTCTGTCTCTCCTTCGCGGCTCAGTCTGTTAGCTGGAAGGAAGTGACCGGTAGTTACTTCCTACAGCACTGGCTGCCATTATTAAAGGGGCTTGGAGATGCTGTTAATGGGCCACAGCGCACAACCAGGCCCCTGAAGAAACATGTCCACCAGGTGGTTTAACCCATTAAGGACACATGACATGTGTGACATGTCATGATTCCCTTTTATTCCAGAAGTTTGGTTCTTAAGGAGTTAAAGTACTTGGGCCACTTGGTGGGGCGCCTCTGCATGCAGCCCCAGTGCAGTGAGTGTTGCAGTTCCGCCCTTTTTTTGTATTGCAAAGTACATTTGCTTGTACTAATTAAATATAAGAGGTAGCTGCACAGTCTAGATCAGGGGTTCTCAACCCAGTCCTCAGGACCCCCTACCAGTCCAGGATTTGGGGATTACCTGGATGTGTCTCAGGTGTTTAGAAAAAGGGAAAAAAACACCTTAGACTCTAAGGTGTTTTTTTTTTATTTTTCTAAACACCTTAGACACACCCAGGTAATCCCTAAACCCTGGACTGGTAGGGGGTCCTGAGAACTAACGTTGAGAACCCCTGGTCTAGATAAAAGCAACATAAAGGAGCAGGCCAAACATATTTATTTATTTATAAAATATTTTACCAGGGTGGATACATTGAGATTTCTCTCATTTTCAAGTATGTCCTGTGTCTTTGTCCACAAAATCTTGCATTGTTACAATAGGACACAATATTACAAAAATACAATATAAAAACTATACATATACACATATATCAATTTAATAAATAACAGGTAACAAATATATTCAACCATGACAGGTGCATTCTGTGCTGAGATATATTGCCATAGATCTCTTAAAACATTTTAGATTGAATGAAGATTTGACTGTGTACCTGAGGTTAAATGAGGATCGAGACACTTTATTTTTGTATTGCGGTATGCTAAATATCGTGCTAGTACTGGATCAGAGGTTATAGGAGGTGGGAACAGCTGGGGAGAGCATTCTACTCAGGTAGGGTGGGAGCTTCCCAGAAATGCTCTTATGCACAAGGCTGGAAAGATGAAGAGTGTGTCAGGATTCCAGCGACAGCCAGTTTAGCTCTTTTAACATGTCACAGTGGTGGGTAAAGTAATTACATTCTAGTACAAAGTGGCAGAATGAATTATATAGCGTATTACGTTTATTAAGGTGGGTATGCGGTGCGGGTGCATACACTACATCCCCATAATCAATGACCGGCATTGTTTCCTTACTGTAAGGCTTAGGCAGGATTTTTATTTGTACAGGGCACCTAGTTTTGGGTAAAGTTTTGAAGAGATTTTTTCAATGTGAAGGCCAAAGGATAGATTGGGGTCTAGCAACATACCAAGATATTTAAAAGAGCAGACTGCTGTCAGTGTGCTATTTGAATTTGTTCTGATACACAGTTGTTGATTTTGTAGTTTATGTAATTTAAGTACAGTTCCAAGGATCATTGTAACGGTTTTGTCAGTGTTTAGTAAGAGTTTGTTATCCGTTATCCACTTTTCTACCTCTGTGAATTGGTTTTGGAGCACAGCCTCAAGTTGCGGTAGATTGGGTTTACTAGCGTAGATTACAGAGTTGTCTGCATACATGTGTACAGTTGACGATTTGCAGACGTTAGGCAGATCACTTATAAATAATGTGAATAGCAGGGAGCCAAGTATGGAGCCTTGTGGAACACCACACGTGACTGGAAGAGGGAGGGAAGCGCTATCAGAAATGGCCACATATTGCAATCGGTCTGAAACATACGATTGAAACCAGGTTAGCGGATGATCACCAATGCCTGAGTTTTTAAGTTTTTGCAAAAGAATGCCATGGTCTACTGTGTCAAAGGCCTTGGCAAAATTAAGGAAAATAGCTCCAGGTAAGGCTCCTTGTTCTATGCCAATTTAGATGTCTCTGCAAACTATTAAGAGGGCAGTTGAAGTTGAGTGATTTGGACGAAAGCCAAATATTAGAAGGGTTTTTCATTGAAGTTTGAATTGTCAAGAATTCTAAGTGAATTTCACATTTTAGGCCACAGCACCTAAACTGGACACATTCTCCGAGTCAGGTATGGTTTAAGTTGTTATTTTAAGCAAACATTAACTTGGAATTCCTGACAATGGACAGGTTTAGTCAATAGCCTGTTGAACCTATGATTGAAAACATCTCTCTCAGACCTTCGAAAATTATGTCTCCTCTGCACATAGCCAACAAACCCATCACGTGTGCTATGCATTCCTTGCAGCCCACTGCTTTCTACCTAATTACCTTATATGCTCAGCTAACGCAAAACATCCAATTAATTATTTCTAAAGACAGGCAGAATTGATGACATTGATTTGGAAGTAGGGATTCTGCATTAGAGATATGGGAAGAGGAGCCTGGACCAGATATGAAGTAAATGGTTATGGCACTATAACAACTACAGTGATCTGTAGTGGTTGTGGTGCTTAGACAATCCCTTTAAATCTGTACCAGGTATATTTCCAGAGTATATTTCCATCCAGCTGCGACTGTCTATACAAAAATTACATATTTCTGAGTGTTTTACAAATACTGCACAATTTAGAATAGCAAAAAGAAAAGTTATTAACATGTTACCTCATAATCTAGAATAGTAAAAGTAATTCCTCCAACACGGAAACGTATGAAATCAGCAAACTGGCCCAGAGTGTGGGAATGTCACTGACAAGTTGTATCATCAGTGACACATTATCATCAGCCCAATTTACATTCCTTAAAGGGCAAGCTGTACTATTGAAGATCATAATTGGCTCACAAATGGCATGCATATAGTCTCCGACTGCCTTCATTAAGTGCATCCAGTGTTCATGGTAAACGTTATTGGGATATACCAGAAATATGTCACCAGGCAGAAAAACATGGAACTTAAGCAGAGAATTTATCATAAGATTTTACAAACTAAGGTTGGATGCCGGACGATCTGCAAAATTTGTCAAGCTAGCTACCCAAAACCTGTCTCTCTAGATCAGGCATAGGCAACCTTCGACACTGCTGATGTTTTGGACTACACGTCCCATGATGCTTTGCCAGCATTATGTGTGTAAAAGCATTATGGGGGATGTAGTCCACAAGATCTGGAGTGCCAAAGGTTGCCTATCCCTTTAGGATTTTGGGGATGCAGGGTTAGCCACAACACAAATTTTAAACCATATTAAAAATCACCAAGTTGGGAAAAACTAATTAATTTGCAGCTCCTTGGTTTTCATTTCGCAACAATTCAATGTTTAGTGAATAAAACCTTTTGTAAAAAATAAGCAAATTCAACACAAATGTATATTCCGTAAATTATAAATTGTAGTGAATTAAAAACTGCATTGCAAACATTTGGCAACTGGAAAAAAAAAAGTTTTCTCCAACACAGTTTTAGTCACAGATTGGCTATTTTTGTCAAATATTTGCAGTACAGTTTAAATTTCATCACAATTCATTATTCACTAAAATTACAAAGAGGCACAACGTTACATTGAAATTTCAGGCCAAACATCTTAACTGCTCTGCTTTCATTTAACCTATTTGCCCTACAATTTCAAATTCCCTTTGAATTACCTACACACACAGAGACAGGGAAGCTCACAGTATTTATAGGGGAATAATATTAATATATTAATTTCCTGTGATAAAATAGCCTAGTGGAGCTAGACCTAACAATCTGAACCCAAACCTCACTAATTGATCAGTAAGTGAGCATTGACAGCTTGTTAGGAATAGGATATAAAGTGAGAGACCCCAGCATGTTTTATTCCCTAGTGAGAGCCCAGAGGGATCCAGCTGAGGTCGGAACGCTGCACTCTGTGCTCTTGTTTCTGACCGAGATCATTTCGCTGTTGCGGAAGGCATCCGTTGCTATGGAAACACACACTAATACTCACCTGTTTATCCCCCCGTCTCACACGGCATGCGTGTTTAGGTTATATTTAGAATATTAATTAATGGTTAACGCTGTCTCTCTCTGCCAGAGTGTGAGTACGCTGCAATCTCTCGATCTCCCGGGCAGAGAATAAAGCATCTCGGCAGAGGGGCAGCCATGAACGGGTAAGGGGGAGCGAGTAAGCAGAACTTTCTGTTATAACAAGGGGACAGGGGGGGAACACCGTGTTATAACAAGGGGAGAACTTACCGTGTTACGCACGCACTGCACAAGGGAGAGGGAACACTGTGTTATAACAAGGAGACAGGGAACACTGTGTTATAACGAGGGGCAGAGAACACTGTGTTATAACAAGGAAGACAGAACACTGTGTTATAACAAAGCGAAACACGTGTTATAACAAGGAGAGGAACTGTTATAACAAGGGACAGGGAACACTGTGTTATAACAAGGGGCAGAGGGAAACACTGTGTTGCAACAAGAACAGGGGAACCATTGCATAACAAGGGAACAGAAACGCGTGTTATAACAAGAGACGCGAGAGGCGCGTGTGCTGGACAGGGAAGCGCGTGTTACTTAGCCTTACCTTACCTGCACCCGCTGCCTGCAAGGGGCAGAAACGCCGTGTTATAACAAGAGGCGAAGACGCCGTGTGTTATAACAAAGAGTTGAAACGCCGTACCAACAAAGTACAGAAATACGTGTTACCAACAAGGGGCGAGGGGAGACACATTATTTATAACAGGGGCGAGAACACCGTGTTATAACAAGGGGCGGGAACACGTGTTACCAACAAGGGGCGAGGAACACGTGTTATAACAAGGGGCAGAGAACACCGTGTTATAACAAGAGGATAGAGGCTACGTGTTATAACAAGGTAGGGGAGAACACGTGTTATAATAACAAGGATAAGAACACGTGTTATAACAAGGGATGGGGAACACACACGTGTTATAACAAGGGGCGGGGAGAAACACTGTGTTATAACAAGGGGCGGGGAGGAGAACACTGTGTTATAACAAGGGCGGGGAGAACACTGTGTTACTAACAAGAGAGGCGAGAACACTGTGTTACCAACAAGGGGCGGAGAGGAACACTGTGTTATAACAAAGAGGGGCGAGGAGAACACTGTGTTATAACAAGGGGGCGGGGAGAACACTGTATTTATAACAAGAGGGCGGGGAGAACACTTGTATTTATAACAAGGGGCGGGGAGAACACTGTGTTGCTTTCACAAGAGGCCGAGAGGGCTGCTGTGTGCTCTGGGGGACGGGGAACACTGTGTTATAACAAGGGGACAGGGGGGGGAACACTGTGTTATAACAAGGGGACAGGGGGGGGAACACTGTGTTATAACAAGGGGACAGGGGGGGGAACACCGTGTTATAACAAGGGCACAGGGGGCAACACCATGTTATAACAAGGAGACAGGGGGTAAATGGGAGCCTCCAGGAATACCATGTTATAACAAGGGGACAGGTGGTAAATGGGAGCCTCCAGGAACACCATGTTATAACAAGGGGACAGGGGGTAAATGGGAGCCTCCAGGAACACCATGTTATAACAAGGGGACAGGGGGTAAATGGGAGCCTCCAGGAACACCATGTTATAACAAGGGGACAGGGGGTAAATGGGAGCCTCCAGGAACACCATGTTATAACAAGGAGACAGGGGGTAAATGGGAGCCTCCAGGAACACCATGTTATAACAAGGGGACAGGTGGTAAATGGGAGCCTCCAGGAACACCATGTTATAACAAGGGGACAGGTGGTAAATGGGAGCCTCCAGGAACACCATGTTATAACAAGGGGACAGGGGGCAAATGGGAGCCTCCAGGAACACCATGTTATAACAAGGGGACAGGGGGCAAATGGGAGCCTCCAAGGAGACAGTGGGTAAATGGGAGCTTGCAATAACACCATGCTATAACAAGGGGACAGGAGGTAAATGGGAGCCTGCAGGAACATCATGTTATAACAATGGGACAGGGGGTAAATGGGAGCTTGCAGGAACACCATGTTATAACAAGGGGACGGGGGAAATTGGAGCCTTCAAGGAGACCAGGGGTACATGGGAACTTGCATGAACATCTCATGTTATAACAAGGGGACAGGGGGTAAATAGGAGCCTGCAATTAGACAAGGGGTAAATGGGAGCCTCCAGGAACACCTCATGTTATAACAAGGAGACAGTGGGTAAATGGGAGCTTGCAGGAACACCATGTTATAACAAGAGCACAGGGGGAACACCATGTTATAACAAGGAGACAGCTGGTAAATGGGAGCCTCCAGGCACACCATGTTATAAAAAGGAGACAGCTGGTAAATGGGAGCCTCCAGGAACACCATATTATAACAAGGGGACAGGGGGTAAATGGGAGCCTCCAGGAACACCGTGTTATAACAAGGAGACAGGGGGAAATGGGAGCCTCCAGGAACACCGTGTTATAACAAGGGGACAGGGGGAAATGGGAGCCTCCAGGAACACCGTGTTATAACACGGAGACAGGGGGTAAATGGGAGCCTCCAGGAACACCATGTTATAACAGGGGGTAAATGGGAGTCTCCATGAACATCATGTTATAACAAGGGGACAGGGGGTAAATGGGAACCTCCATGGAGACAGGGGGTAAATGGGAGCTTGCAATAACACCATGCTATAACAAGGGGACAGGGGGTAAATGGGAGCCTTAAAGGAGACAAGGGGTAAATGGGAGCCTGCAGGAACACCATGTTATAACAAGGGGACAGGGGGTAAATGGTAGCTTGCAGGAACACCATGTTATAACAAGGGGACGGGGGAAATGGGAGCCTTCAAGGAGACAAGGGGTACATGGGAACTTGCATGAACATCTCATGTTATAACAAGGGGACAGGGGGTAAATAGGAGCCTGCAATTAGACAAGGGGTAAATGGATGCCTCCAGGAACACCGCATGTTATAACAAGGAGACAGTGGGTAAATGGGAGCTTGCAGGAACACCATGTTATAACAAGAGCACAGGGGAAACACCAGGTTATAACAAGGAGACAGCGGGTAAATGGGAGCCTCCAGGAACACCATGTTATAACAGGGGTTAAATTGGAGTCTCCATGAACACCATGTTATAACAAGTGGACAGGGGGTAAATGGGAGCTTGCTATAACAAGGGGACAGGGGATAAATGGGAGCCTTAAAGGAGACAAGGGGTAAATGTGAGCCTGCAGGAACACCTCATGTTATAACAAGGGGACAGGGGGTAAATGGGAGCTTGCAATTAGACAAGGGGTAAATGGGAATTTGGTACATGTTGATGTGTAGTGAACTGAATTCAGTTTATTTCTGTCACTTTCTTCCTGTTGGTAGAAGGAAGCAAGAGACTGGCTGTGCAATTTATTATAAATCCATAATAAATGCCAAAACAGAACTAATAACTTTTTTGTCTTCTAGTACTCAAATCAAGGGGTTTAATTCCAGCATTGCATTGAGCAAGGTGAGAAAGTAACCATTTCATTTGTATGAAGAGTAACATATTCATTTTTAGAGTCCTATCTATCCCACATAGCATTTACTACTGAAACTAGCCCCCGTGAAAGTCAGGTATGCTAAGCATTAAATAAACAGATTCCTGTTCAAACTTTTCTGATTTATGTAAATTTGCTGCAAAATATTTTTTATTTATGCAAAGTGTAAGAATTTGCTGGTCAGCCTTAACAAAACACTCTAGCGTTGGGAAAACAAATATATCCTCTAGTATCCTAGAACTATTTTGGTGTTCGCTCTCCCCTTTGCAATGAATTAAAAAAAGCTTTTTACTGACCTAGTAGCCCTCGCCCCACCAGTCTCCACACATCCGGTCCAACCTCATTGGCTGAGATCATCAAGATTGATGATCTTAGCCAATCCAATGTTTACCCATAGGGATGGACTGGACTGCTCCAATCAAATGCTCTTTAGTAGCAGCAATTAACTGAGAGCTGTGTCAGACTTGGTTGTCACAGGGGAGGCACCTATTGTAGTTGTATGCCACTTGAGGTATAATAACCCTGCAATCATAACATTGCCGTATTTACTAAACCGCAATGTTTTTTTAGATACAGGTTTAAACCTAAGAGGCCTCTGCACCCCGACCCCTTCATTGAGATGAAGTGGTCTGGATACCTTAAGTTGTCCTTTACAGAGGCTTTGTCACTGGGTGTTTTTTTTTTTGCAAAGACCCCCATTGCGACTTTATCACTTGGTGTGCGTTGACCATGGAGGGCAGATCATCATCCGTGAATCCTCTTCATCTCGTGGCACTTGATCTGTCAAGAGCCATTGTCACTGCTTTGAGGTATATGGAGAAATCCGCAGGAGCCTTTCATAGACCATAACAATCACTAGTGATTGCTGAGCGAAATGACAAAACCTGACAAACGTAGCTTCATCTGTTGTCAAGTTTTGTCAGGTGTAGGGAAAGTACATAAGTCAAATTAGTCCCTACTTTGCCTTATGTATTGTAGGAGAAATAGGAGAGAAAATAAGAACATAATGAGAGACTGGGAAAAAAGCAGAATCGTTTGAGGTAAGATAAGCATGCTGTAACAGATAAGCTTTAAATGCACATTTCGACTTGCCTGAAATAAATGGTTCATGACATATTACTAAAAAGGTAAGGCACTGAAAAACTATATTAAATGTCTAATATTTCAAGTTATTTGCAAAAGTTCATAACTTAAAATGAAATTATAATTTAATGCAATTTTCTAGTTTTGCCGGGAGAGTAACTATTATTTTTCTTTCAGCGACCAGGAAAGTTAGAAGTACTTGAACCAGAAGGTACTTGTATTTGTATTCTTCAAATCAGGAGTTTTTCATAAAAAATAGGGTTGCATACAGAAAGGAAAAAGGTTGGGGAAATGGGAAAATTGGAAAATACTATCAGTTGCTCTAAAGTGCATTTTACATGTGTACAATAATTAAACCTTTCACTGCTCAAATTGTACTCACATTTTAACTTTCATTTCCAATGCAAAACAAAATGTAGTCCACAAAGTTTCACCTATCTTTTTATTCCAGGAATGATGGTAATCTTTTAGATGAATAGATTTCTCTGCCCTGAACTAATTCCACACATTTAATACCACATTTAGTAAAATATTTGTTAAGACAGCTTCCCCCTTTCAAACCATATCTTCAAAAATCATAACATTTCTGTGGTCAGTTAAGGGGGGAGCAGTAAATGAGTACTAACACACGCCTCTTAGTATTACAGAGCTTCCTGTAACTGTAACGGCTCTAAAAACGTATGTTTTAGAAATATATGATTTAACTGTGCTTACTATATGTGAATAATTAGTATGCTGTTTTTATTTATCTGTTTTGTTACACCTACTGTATGTGAAAAAAGAAAAAAAGTATATTTTTGTTTCTATACTAATATTTCAAACCCTTTGTATAATATTGCTGCATGTTGCCTGAAGCTTCTCAGTCATTCAAGCTTTTCATTCCTATTGACAAATTAAAAGTAAATAAGTTTTGGAGGATATCAAATTTGCCTTACATTTTTACAAATTGTGCAATAAGTGAGTATTTCCAATATTTGTTTTAATTTTTATTTTTTTTTAATTCTTTTTTACCCCAGCACACAAGCATGAGTGGGTTAACAGAAACAAGAGCAAATCAGACATTATATACAGTGCAGGGATCTTGGTATGCACATTGCTATGCTGTCTGTCCTTAGTGAGCAGTGCTTGGGAGTAGGGGGTTTTATGTTAAAAGCGATGTGGTCGAGGTCGGTTCAGGGTCCTCATAGGTCAGTCATGCGTTAGAGTGGAACCTGTGAGTTACTGAAATGTGGATTTACTGCCAGTTGGATCGTTCTGGGAGTACCTCTTGGTTTGTTGTGTGTGTATCTCGCTGAGGTATGAGCCGTATGCCAAGTGTTAAAGGAGCACTATAGGGTCAGGAACACAAACATGTATTCCTGACCCTATAGGGTTAAAAACCACCATCTAGCCCCCCTGGCCCCTCATGCCTCCCTAAATACAGAAATCTTACTTGTATTCAAGTCTGGAGCTGCTGTCTCTGTTCCGGTTTCCTTTAGAACTGCAATTGATGTATGTCCTTAGGGCGTTAAAGGAGATAGTGGGGTTGAGTCCCAAAGTTCAGGTTGTAGCTGCCGCGTAAGCCTCTGGCTTTCTTCCTTGTGACATGAACGGCATAATCCTTGCTGGGCCCCAGCGGTGGGCCGTGGTGGAGTTTTCTGGATGCCTTGAAGGAGTTAGGGAGTTCTCTGGCAGGCCGAGTGTTGATAGTAACACAGCCGCTCCCTGCATGTCTGTTACTGTGTAGGTCAAGCTGTTCTGCTGGACTTGCAGAGCCCTTGGTGAGCGCCATCTGTACTCTATGTCGCTCTTCCTCAAAGGTGCCGTGTATGGTTGGAGGGACCGTCTCCATTGTAGGGTGTCCCCGGACAGGTCCGCATAAAAGGTGAGGGCTGCATTTTCGAAGGCATATGGTGTTTTCCCTTTGTGGGGTGCGAGAACTGCTGCCTTATCGGTGCCATTGCGGAATTTCACCACAACCTCCTTTGAGGCTGCAGCTTTTCGCAGTTTAGGAACCCGGAAGACCTGTTTCTGCGTTAAAAGGGCTCCGATGAGCCTCCACGTTAAACGCGGGAGTTCCTCTGCTGGGATATTGTTGGGGACACCTCTTATTTTCATGTTATTGCAGTGTCTGTGGTCTCTTGGTATTTTTTTTAGCACTTGCACTTCTGTTGTGAGTTCTGCTATGACTTGTGCCTGCTTGTCTGAGGAGGCCTCTATTACCCCAATGCGGCCCACCAGGCCTGTCAAGTCAGTGTGAAGCTGAGCTACGTCGGCATGCAGTACTCTCTGCAAGTCACCTAACATGGATCGCAATGTCTCTGTGGTGATTGGGTCGGGTGTCCCCTTTTTTGGGATTGGCTGCGTTAACGGAGCAAACATACCCCCAGTGCAGTCATCCAGGCTCAGGTTGTCCGAGAAGTCTGTGTATTTTGCTAGCCCGACAACCATTTTGGGCCTGTGTGCCCCTTTCGCATGCTGGAATAAATCACCATATTGCGCCCCGTTTTGGGTTTGTCCGGTCTTTGCTTTTTTTTTTTTTCATGTCCCATGTGGGTTCATGGGGTACTTTTTTGCCTCACTTTTTCTTGTTGGAAAACGGGTTTATAAGCAGTGTGTGCAGAGAGCCCATCTATGTGCGCCCATCTTGTTCTCTTGCTAGGCTCCGCTCCCCAAGAGTAAATATTTCTGCAGACATTTCTATGTACATGGAATAATTATCTTTACAATGTTTTGCAGATGGCTTTTTCACAGATACTTGTTCGTTGATTCCTCGGTAAGTACAAATAATGGAAACCAGATGTATTATTGGGTTTTGATTAAAGTTGTAATTTAGTGAAAAACTAATTTGAAGTAGGATTTGCAGTTAAAGGACATGCGTAATGCGGTACCAAATAGTTTTTTTTTGTCTTGCAATATTTGCAAACAGATCCTCCATGCACACTCATGACACTTGAATATAAAGCTGACTCAATTCCTCAGTGGCAAGGTTTCAGCCTACATGAATGCAAAGTTCCCTGAGTAGCTCCATTAAAGAAACTCTTCATATCCTTAAAGCACCTAAAGTGGCGCTGCCACTGTCTGGGGACTTTGCAGAATTTGCAAGACCCCTGATGGTGACATCGCCACTGGGGGTCTAGTGGCCGGGGGGGGCAGGTAAAGGGGAGGTCAACTTACCTGAACCTGTCTCTTGTGGGAGCCGCTATCTTCTTTCAGCAGATCCTCTTACGTGCGAGTACAGTATTGAGGTCTATGGAGGAGACCACGGCAGTGGTGTATCCTGGTTTTGTGCTGCCCTTTTGTGGTGGGGGGAAGGGTTCATCTCCCTGGTGGTCCAGTGGCTGCGGGCGGCCGGCGAGGGAGCTCTTCCCCTGAGCGCTCTGCTCAGCTCCCTCGCGCGCCCCAGAGTGAGGCTGGGAGCCGGAAGATGACGTCATATTCCGGCTCCCAGCCTCACTGTGCGGCGCGCGAGGGAGCTGAGCGGACAGCTCAGAGGAAGAGCTCCCTCGCCGCCCAGCAGCCCGCACGCCCGGCGGGTCAGTTAGCCGCAAGGCTAACTAGGCATTTGCCCTGGGCATTTGGGGGGCGGCGTTTTTTGCCGCTCCCTGAAAAATGCCGCCCAAGGCAAATGCCTTGTTTGCCTCGCGGCTAAAACGCCCCTGGACCACGGGATCCTTTATAGATAAAGCAAAATCTCTGCAGCCGTCACTGGTGATGGATTGGTGTATTTACACTTCTAGACTCCGGTAGATCTGTCCAGTGTCTAGAAGTGTTCGACATAGGAAATATACAGAGACAAAGTAGGGTTCTTTTACAGTGAGGACAGTAAAGATGTGGAATTCTCTGCCTATAGAGGTGATCTTATCAGATTCTATAGATAAATAAACTAAATATTTAAAGATATAATGTGTATGTAAACAGGTTGTGGATCCAAGGAGAAATCTGATTGCCATTATCGAGTCAAGATTTTTTTTTTTATTTTTTTTCACTTTTGGTGGCATTATTGGAAAGGTCTGCAATTGTTTGGGGTTTTGTTTTGCCTTTTTTTTTTTATTTTTTTTTTAAAAATTTTTGATCAACAGCATAAAAAAAATTAACTATGTCACAAAGTGCATGCCATCTCCAGCTGATTTTACAAAATAACATGATTGTAGTGTACTTCAGTGGCCTTCACACTCTTCATGCTTGAGTCCAATCAAGATCTATTGGGATGTGATAAAAAGGGAAATTCACAGTATGAACATGCAGCCATCATATCTCTAGCAGCTATGTTATCTTATTTATCTTGTTTGAATATATCTTGATATATTGCATTGGCAAATAAAAGCATGCATATCTGGTATGTAACTAGTATATTTTACTTGTTTTACAGGCGGCATAACTCTGAAGAATTGCCCTTTACCAACAAGGTAATCCCAACTCACGTTTTATTAACTGCTGCCTGCTAAAAAATGTACATACTGCATTCCTAGATATTTAAAAAGTATTATTCCCTCCCACTGCTCATATCTTCGCCTCCCGCAATGTCATCAAGGAGGCATGACCTCTTCTGGCGATGATTCAATCCAATGCTCCCCTGTGCGCATGTGTGGCAAACATGCATGCACATCCCATGCTTTTCATAGGAAAGCACTGAATTCAATGCTTTCCTGTGAGCTTTCACATGATGTGACAGAGTTTTATTGGTCAGTGCCATGGGGATCACCTGTAGGTGGATTTGGTATTTCAATTTAAATATCGCAGGTTTTAAAAACCTGCTATGTTTTCCATTGCTGGGTTAAAATGACAAGACAAAAACACCTAGCCATTGAGACCAAGTGTTCTATGTGACTATAGTTGTCCTTTTTTAATAACCTCTGTTCCTGCTACTTTAAAGGGAATAACCTTTACACTATACATTGTGCTGGCCAAATCAAACTATATCCAGTAATTATGCATTCGAATGTTTATTTTCACTTGCCAGGGATTTTGCAAGAACCATGTTATATTGAATATACAACTACTTGAACGTCCGCCTTCTCGTGCACACAACCTTTTGATGCCAGTCTCAATAAAAAAAAAAATACTCCAGAATATCACAACCTATTTGGGATTTCTACAATCCATTTCCAGAGCAGGCAGTGCACGAAAATAACGTTGTTCTGTTTGTGCCGAATTGATTGTTAATACCATTTCTATTCATTTTTTGTAGCACACAATAAATCATCAGATTGGAAAATTACAAGTACTTGGTAAAGAAAATAAAGGTTTGTGTCCTTACCTGTAGATTCATTGTGGTGTGTGTTTTTTTTTTTTTTTATATGATATGGGGGGGGGAGACATACTTAGGTTTTCAAAGCTCAAAAAAAAACAAAACACCATTTCTCTTTGTTCGCTTCACGTTAACTAAAAACTCAGTTGTAGTGAGTTATAGTGAACTGATCTGATAGCTTCACACATTTTAGGACAAATAGCTGTGTTTTAAAAAGTTCTCCAACTCCATTGATAAACTGTTTTATTGAGGCAATAAAGCCACCCGAAATGGCAAATATCGAACTACCAAGTACAGTAATCCGAGAAATACATTAAGGCTCACATTATTATTTATTATTAACATCTACAGTGCCAATATTTTCCACAGCACTTTACAATTATACAATGGGTTTAACTAATAGCAAGTATCTGAAAGACCAGAATAATACTGACAAAGGTAAAGACGCCCTGCTCAAACAAGCTTACAATCTGAGTATAAATTTAAAAACCTAAACGAAAATGAGCTAAGAATCATTCAGCAATCCACTAACTGATTGGTGTCCCGGTACTGTTTGGCCTGAGTACCCTTATGCAAACGCATTGTACATTTTTACACTTATTGTACCATCCAATGAGTTAATAATCACCCTCCATTTCTGGGAAAAATGCATAGTTGGGATTGAAGCAAGGAGACAGTGAGACCAGCATGGTAGATCCATTTATTAATAAATGTATTTCCTGAATTAAATACTTGATACATGCCAAGGTGGAAGTATGCTAAATATGACCGCTTCTAGAGTAGCTGTAAGCTGGGTTATGAAGTAAATCATTGAGGTAATTTTAGACAACTCTCCGGTATTGCTGGATGCCAGGACCCATAATCAGTGGAACAGCTCTGCCTCCTACTCTGTGATTAGTCCAATCTTGTAGCTGTGGTAAAAAGAAGTGGATACAACTTTAAATCTTGTAAATTGCTAAAGAAGGACATAAACACTCTGTGGAATTTTCCCACTGTTAGACAAAAGTGGGGATTCATTCCTTGTTCCAACCTAAGCCACTTTGATAGAAGTTACTTTAGCGATCTTGTAATCTTGTAATCATGTAAACAAAGCGGGTGATCTGATCTGGGTTAGTCTGGATAACATTTATTTTTTTCTACTTCCATAAGAAAGTGATAAGCATACATTTTCTTTCTGTTTTTGCTTACAAGCTTATTAATATTGCAGAAATATATGATTTTGATAGTAATCTGAGCAGAGTCATTGATCCCAAAAAAATCTAGTACTGCCATTCAACTAGTTCAGGAGTATTTCACTTTAGTTAATAAAACTGCATGTATTAATTCATAGTCCCAATATAAAGTAATGAATGGGCATTGTTTGTAGTTAAACCATTTCTAATGTTTATTGTTTTACATTATAATGCCCTAATAGAAACTTGTCACCTAGGCCGCCACCTCCAGTGTTTGTTACCAAAAATCCTGTAAACTAAAGTTAAAACTTAGAATGAAAACCGCACCAGGCCAAGTTCTCACCAATATTTTTACCTACCTTCTTTGTTGTAATGCTATGTCAATAGTTCCTCACTGAGGTCCAGTCAAAGCATTGTTGGACCTTGGGTTTATTAGCTACCAGTGGGGCAAACCACCAATCAGCTTCTTCTGAAAGAGAAGCATTAAATCCAATGCTTCTTTATCAGAGGAAGTGAATGCTACACTGTAGTACCTGGTGTATTTTATCATAAGAGTTTGGATGAACAGAGTGACCGCTAATCTCTCTGCTACAGCCCACCCAATCCAAGTGACAGGAGGGAAAGGACGGTGTGCGGTGGAGGGCTTCATAGAGGGAAGGGGGTGGATATTAAAAAGGGAATAAAAAACAGATGGCAAAAACTGATGTGGTGCATCTCTAGATTGTGTAACTAGACTCAGGCATACATTCAAAGATTTCTTTGTATAGGCAGCATTTGCAACTGAAACCATGCACATACAGCTTACTTGCTCCATGACCACTTCTAAAAACAGATGTGTTCATGGAGGTTCTATTAACCCTTTAAATATGGCACATGTTACTTGTTTATTCATATTAATGGTTCTGGAAGTTTTGCCAATGTGGTTGCATGCAAGCATGATATTATGTTGATCAAGTCTATATACCATAATACTTAAATATCATTTTTTTTTTTTTTTTTTTTCCAGTCCAGGTCCTTTTTGAAACGATATTTTGATATAAGATATTTTGTTTATCTTATGAAACTTGTTTTATGTAGAATAAATCTAATTCCACTTTTAAATAGACAAAATGTGAATGTACACTCCACTGTAAATTTACCGTAGATTAGTGCATTAAAGGAACACTATAGTCACCTAAATTACTTTAGCTAAATAAAGCAGTTTTAGTATATAGATCATTCCCCTGCAATTTCACTGCTCGATTCACTGTCATTTAGGAGTTAAATCACTTTGTTTCTGTTTATGCAGCCCTAGCCACACCTCCCCTGGCTATGATTGACAGAGCCTGCATGAAAAAAAAACACTGGTTTCATTTTCAAACAGATACAATTTAAGGTAAATTACATCTAAAGCTCTAAATTGAACTTTAATCACATACAGGAGGCTCTTGCAAGGTCTAGCAAGCTATTAACATAGCAGGGGATAATAAAATCTTAATTAAACAGAATTTGCAATAAAGAAAGCCTAAATAGGGCTCTCTTTACAGGAAGTGTTTTATGGAAGGCTGTGCAGGTCACCTGCAGGGAGGTGTGACTAGGGTTCATAAACAAAGGGATTTAACTCCTAAATGGCAGAGGATTGAGCAGTGAGGCTGCAGGGGCATGTTCTATACACCAAAACAGCTTCATTAAGCTAAAGTTGTTCAGGTGACTATAGTGTCCCTTTAAAAATATATGCACTTAAAACATAAAGGAACGCTACAGCATTAGGAATACAAACATGTATTCCTGACACCATATAGGATTAAAATAGCCTTAAGGTCCCCAGCTCCTCTTACTCCCTGTTAAAAAGGTGATTTACTCCCTTTTTTTCCCCAGCACCGTGCAAGTCTCCTTGTGGATGGCCCTGCTCCGCTTCCTTGGTTGAGATCATAAAATTTGATCTCAGCCAATCCAATGTTTTACAATAGGAAAGCATTTGAAAACTGTTGCGCATGCGAGGCAAAACACTACAATGCGCCATTCCGCATCTCCTCATAGAGATGCATTGGATCAATGAATCTCCATGAGGAGTGTTCAGTGTCTCCATGCAGAGCGTGAAGATGCTGACGGCTAGTGCTGCACATTGTTTAGCATTGGACTAGGAAGAACCTCTAGTGGACATCTGAGTGACTGCCCCTATAGGGGTTCCTAGGCAGCAATGAAAAGACCATATCGTGAAAAGGCAATATTTACATTAATAAGCCTGCAGGGACAGGCTGTAGACATCATAACTACAGTAAGCTGTAGTTGTTCTAGTGACTAGTGTCCCTTAATTAAAAATATGTAACTGTATGGTTCTCTTTTCCTCATGCATACGATCCTCTTCTTCTCATGCATCCGATCCTCTTCCCAGATTTCTTCATGTCCTCCATCAAATTTTCACAAAAAATATTAATTTGTGTATAAAACCATGAGCAGATGTTTATGTTAAATGTATCGTATTTCTTTTTCAGATGAGGCGGTAATTTGTCCCATTGGAACAACATCACGGTATAAGTTCTTCCCTTAAACTATATAATGAACCTGTAAAATCATATCTCTGGATTGTGTTACCAAAACGTGACTTGCTTGACCCACAGATACGGTGTCTTCCCCTCCAATGGATGTTTAATGTGTGTATTTGGTTATCTCTGAGTTGGAATTAAGCTTTTTATGTTTTTGTTTCATCAAAAGGTGTGTAATTAATTTAAAGCATTTGTTACACTTCACCAAATCTTATAGCTCCAGGATCTCATGTGTTGCCTGCCCAACACCTACACATCCATAAGTGCAGTAACTGGTGTCTATTCATATACAGTGTAAGTGGAAATTTGCACGGTGACTATTCCTAGTCCCAGGTCTGTTTCTATTATTATTTATTATTATTATTATTATTATTATTGTAATAATAATAATAATAATAATATCACACAGGTCAGACCAGCTCATAGAAATCACTGTTACATTGTGTCTGAACAATATGTTCTGCACCTCACTGAGAAGTACCTTTCTAATTACCCCACCCACACCCACCCACACCCACCCACCCCCTGTGAGATTTTTCCACTGTTTGTTTTTGTTTTTTTGTTGTTGGTTTTTTATTTTTGTGTGTGTGTGTGTGTGTGTGTTCAGTGTGCAGTGTCAAGTCTAAATGTAGTTCAGATATAACCCCACTGACCAAAGGCTGGGCATACAAAAACTATTCATACCAGGTCACCCATCACACCTGGCTTCTGCTGATCTCTGTAACAGACGCACAAGACCAGAAATGAGCATTCTGGTCCAGTTAATGTGCCAGGGCTTGTCACTTTGAAGTCTCAGTGTTGGATCTTGGCAGTGTATCATTTAACCTCTAACAAATGAAAGCTTTTGGGAGTCCTATTTGGCACACTATAGTACTACCTGTAGAGTAATGGATAAATGTGTATTATTGCCAAAAAATATTTTAAACTAGTATTCCCCAAATCTGTTACTTAAAGGCATAGTATTCTATATAGAGGAGAAAGTTGGGAAAGTTGTGGGATTTGCATTGACTGTTTCATCCTCCTGTAACAATCCAATACTACCTTCTAAGCTAATGAATGAGACTTACATGTGTTTTAGACATGTGCAGGCATTTAAAACGATATCTGAAAAAAAATAAAACTAAATAAAAGGATACCCGATCAGCTCAGAACTATTAACACAAACAAACACATCTATATGTATCTGTTGCTGGGTAAGAGAAAAATAGAGGGCAGCACAGATTACCCTTGCAATTATAACATAGAGCAGAAGTACACAGAAAATGTGAAAAGATTGAAGCCCTATTTAGACGATTTGGTCTTCCGTGATTTCATCTGCAGAACAAATATGTTGCATTTAGCCATATCCGCGCTTCCACTACATAGAGTTGGTTAAAACATGGTGCTTTTATGGATCAAATGTCCTATTTCAAATGCCCATTGACCTTGGCAAACAAAGCTGAAACTGTATCAAACAATGTGTGAGCAATCAACAGCTTGTGTTAAATCCAATATCTCTAAGGAACAAGTAAAAAATCATTACAGGAAATCCTTATTGAATAGCATCAACTAATTTATATTGAAACTGAGAAACTCTTACTTTTTAATCATACACAATAACCAGTGTTTTTGCAATATTCTAGTGGAACAAGTTAATTTTAATCTGTAGTGTCCCTTTAAGGCTTAAGCTGTTAAACATTTGTGCCTGACACTTTTTTTTTTTTTTCATTTATTAATGGAATTCTATTTCCACTTTTTTACTATTTCAACTATACTGATAATTTAAACCATGCTCCTTTTATTTTACCTTAATAATGTTTGTTTATTCCTCTTTCTTCTTGTTCTTAAAGCTTTGATCATATTGTGAAGTTGCATAGAAAATTCCAAGCTAGACATCTCTAAGTTTTTTTTTTTGTGGAGAACGTTCTAGATATTGCTGTTTGTATCATGTTCACTTGTTTGTAAATTCTCCCATCCTCTAATTCGTCTTCATTTCCTATCCAGTGGTGCAAATCCTGTGAGGGACACAAAGCACAGAAAGATTGATTTTTTCCTTTTAAAGCATATCATTAGTGACAAATTCACTCAACAGAAATATACCAGGCAATTAGCTGACTGCAATTCTTCACATGTGTACACTAAGTAATGTGCTTTGATTTACTCTTGTTTCTATGTTATTTGTCTCTTTCTAAATGGATTCTGGAAGCATACCTGTCAGACAGGTCATGAAACCTATTTCCAGAACACATGCTCCAATCATGTATTGCTGTAAATGAAGGTTATGGCTTCTGAGCAGTAGATTACACAGACGTTATTACAGATTTTTATTATTATTCAGGATTCCTTTTATAGAACTTTTTCTCTAACTTGATCTCAAGGTGTTCAAAAGAGGGTAGCCGCCCGGCCGGTAGTTACTAGATTATCAGGAATGCAGAGCATAATGACCAACCATCCTTCATGGTTGAGGCTCTGCTTTTGGAAGCATATGTTTTAAGTGCTGTAGATGACATTGATGTGAGGGGCCGAATGCATGGTATCATAATTTATCCTCCTAATATGCTGCATATGTTCTTAGATTGATGGGTGGCTATAATCCAAATTGAGGCCTGTAATGTAAAATCAGGACAGATTTAGCATTAGAATGAAAGAGTAAATTCCAAAATTAACCAGGAACTACTAAAGGGAAACTTAACAGACACCAGAAATAATACATGAATTGGAATACCTTGAAAGGAACAGGAATCAGATACTCTGCAAATGATTAATGTAACATGGCCGCAGCCTAAAACAGTGACAACCCTAGGAACTGACATTGGTAGGAATTATACTATGCACTAGAGATAAACCTTGGGTGTTCTTGAACAGTGGATTCCCCTCTTTTGTGGGAATACTGGTGCTCACCCCAGAGAGATGGTCTCCCATAATAGCTCCAGAACTCCATTCATGCGCCTGGAGTGCCATTTTAATTTTTTTTTTTTTTTTTTTGCAGAAGGGGGTATCCACCCAAGTCTATACTCCTGCATAAATCCAACTATTTGCCTTTATGTGGATATTCTACCTACTCGGTATCATATTCTCTTAAATAAAAATCTGCAAAAAACAACAAACAAAGGGCTTGGGTTAGACACAAGACAAATAAATATAAAAACCTTTTACCAAAATACCTCTGATAACAATCCTAGGAGTAAAACCAGGAGCTAGTTTTTTAAGGATGTTAAACCGTAAAATTAGACTCTTTAAATATAGATAAAAATAAGCATGCAGCAATAATTCTATAACCATTAAACACCGTAATCTCTAGCTGCTTTCACTCTCACAATAATGATTAAAGTTCATCGTTACAGTCCATAATGAATGCGGCGGCGAGGCCCATCTTCCTGTCTGCCCGCACCTCCAATGCCTCACCCTTCTGTCAGTCCCTACATTTGCTTCCTATAAAATATAGATCTCAATTAAAAATTCTGGTTCTTGCTTTCAAACCTCTACATAATGCTGCTCCAACCTATCTATCCTCCCTTATACACAAGTCTAGGCCCTTATGATCTGCTGAAGACTTACGTCTATCTTCTGTCCGTACTCCCACCTCTGATGCTCGCCTTCAAGATTTCTTGAGGGCTGCACCGTTTCTGTGGAACTCTCTTCCCTCCTCCATTAGATGATCACACAGTCTCCACTCCTTCAAAAAATAGTTAAAAACCCACTTCTTCATAAAAGCGTATCAATTAAACTGTTAATAGCTCCAGAATGATTCCTCTTCTGCAACTGTCACTAGTCTAATACTATCCTTACCTTTTTGTGTCATTTTACCCCACTCCCTCTAGCATGTAAGCTCATTGAGCAGGGCCCTCAACCCCTCTGTTCCTGTGCGCCCAACTTGTCTGGTTACAACTACATGTCTGTTCGTCCACCCATTGTAAAGCGCTGCGGAATTTGACGGCGCTCTATAAATATAATATTCATCCATATACAAATGTGTCCATAAAACAGTTGAAATAGGTAAATAGGCAGTCTGACGTAAATGTAGCAGTTTGTGAAAAGGCTGATCAGTAAACAACCACATCAGCTAAGGTGTAGCCACAGAAAGTGCTCCGTATTCTAGTACTTCCAATAGTGTAACAGCCACTTATTAAAGGGCCACTATAGTCACCTGAACAACTTTAGCTAAATGAAGCAGTTTTGGTGTATAGAACATGCCCCTGCAGCCTCACTGCTCAATCCTCTGCCATTTAGGAGTTAAATCCCTTTATGAACTCTAGTCACACCTCCCTGCATGTGACTTGCACAGCCTTCCATAAACACTTCCTGTAAAGAGAGCCCTATTTAGGCTTTCTTTATTGCAAGTTCTGTTTAATTAAGATTTTCTTATCCCCTGCTATGTTAATAGCTTGCTAGACCCTGCAAGAGCCTCCTGTATGTGATTAAAGTTCAATTTAGAGATTGAGATACAATTATTTAAGGTAAATTACATCTGTTTGAAAGTGAAACCAGTTTTTTTTTTTTTCATGTAGGCTCTGTCAATCATAGCCAGGAGAGGTGTGGCTAGGGCTGCATAAACAGAAACAAAGTGATTTAACTCCTAAATGACAGTGAATTGAGCAGTGAAATTGCAGGGGAATGATCTATACACTAAAACTGCTTTATTTAGTTAAAGTAATTTAGGTGTTCCTTTAAAGTACAGTATGTGCATCCAAATGAGAAATGCCTGGATCTACAGACACATAAGAACTTAAGAAAACAGTTAGGTGCAGCAGTATATCTATAAAAACAAGAGAGAAAGACATAGTGCGCTCTGTAAGGTTTATTAAAATGAAGAATTAAAAACACTTACAAGATTCCTTAGTTAAGATAGCATATCAGGGAATCACCCCCTGGTTGCTCCATTTCGGTGTTCCCGCTGGCATTCACGTGGGGGAAACCCGTAACGTGATCCTGTTCCCAGAATACAGTCTATCATCAGGGGTTCGATAGGCGTTCAACTGCTCACCGCTTCCGCTTCTCCATCTGGATTCCAATCTCTTGTTCAGAGCTAATGCATTACGTGTATTTTATGAACAAAGGTTCACTTCCTCAGAGTAAAAACATGAAGAAAAACAAAAACCTGTTGAGCCATATAGTTTCCCCCAATTCTTTAAAACTAGTTCTTATGTAGCAATATGACTGAACATTGCTTATGTGGGTCACCATTATAATTTTGCTGTAATAATAGTGTATTAGCAGAAAGGATGTAGGATATCCTGTAGTGTAGATAATTACCCGATTATACTTGGTATAAATGAGTCACCCAGTTGACCCTTTAAGTACAAAACCTCTTTGAATCTGAGGTTTGAACACTATGTGTAGTTTGTGTATTAACCAACTGATCTAACTTACCAGCCATTAATATTATTTCATTTTTATTTCAGACCAAGCAGTGCCATAAGAAGACCAGGATCTGCTGAAATTAAATGTTACTCCCCAACTAAACAGATTTCCTTATGTGCAGTAAAACGTTTATCACAAAGGTATTGTCTGTATTTTGATATATGTACACGCATGTCTTAATGCAAACTTTTTGCAACTATAGTAAACAGCTGCTTTAAGGACTTGTTGTCCAGCTTGATACCACTCCATATGGAATGTTGTAGACCTCATTAGGAAAATATAATCTGCCAATGGCTGAAATAGGAAAATTATAATGTGCCTTAATAAAGGCTGAGCTTGTATGGCCAGTGAAATCTAGCTTCAGGCTCTGTAACTCCTTCCCCCATTTTTTTTATTTTTTTTTTATAGTTTCTATATTTTTATTGAGAAATGGATATATTTTCGTGTTCGTTTACATGTTCATACAGAGTACAACCGCATTGTTCTACTATTTTGTTTCCAGTACAGTGTTTTCAGTACAATACATGTCACGTAAAGAAGGGACGGTTACATATCATAAGAGTCGCATCTCCGTACACCAGCTATTATTGATTTTGCAGCTGTTAAAAGAAAATAGAGTAGGGAATATTTATATCTACCCACTGGTATGGCCGTGAGGTGAAATAATAAGGCCGCCGGATCTTGGAGTAGTAGGAGTCCCGTAACCACCCTTATTTTATCTTTCACGTGTGGGCATGTCCACCAGATATGTTCTAGCATACCTTTAGCACTCACACACCTCCAACCCACCGGTGAGTGTGATGGCACAAATGTATGCATTCTGGCTGGAATGTTATACCATCTCGAGAGCAACTTATAGTTTGTTTCTTCAAGCGGGACACTGGTTTGTGTGTGAAAGGTTAAAGTGAAAAATGTGAGCCATTTAATGTCTTGTAGTGGTGAAGGTAGGGAGTTATTCCATACATTGACAAAGAAGGGGAGTGTGGAGTGAAAGGGTTGTTGCAATAGTTTTATAGCATGCGGAGGATATCTTGGGCAGCACCTGTCTCAGGAGATATTGGTTGTGGATTGAAAACTAACCCCTCCGCTCCTGCCAGGAAGAATGGATTGAGATATTGGGTATTTTTTTATTTTTATTTTTATATATTTTTATTTATTTTATTTTTTTATATCCAGCTTGGTGTCATTTTTGGTAGCGAAATTACACATATTACGCCAGATTATTTTTATTAGAGTATAGCAACATTATTATTATAATAAATATTGTATAGGCTGTATAGTGTCTATCAACTGTCCAAATTTGATATTGTTTTAGCAATAAAATAATTGATTGTGTCCCTACTGTTTATTTCCAGTGGTGATGCTTCAAGTTCTGATCATATAGAAAGACTGTTGTCAACAGAGATGAATTCCAGTGGCATTCCAAGCAGTTCCACAATAGAACCAATTGGTATCTAAATGTACATAAATTGTAGATGGGTTAATTCTTGATCTTTAAATTATTTGTGGCAAATGTTCCCAAAAGATGATAAATAGCCAGATATGATGTTAATGTGGAACTATTGCTTCTCTGAAAATTACACTGTTGGAGAAAAAAAAGAGAAAAACAGTAAAAATCATCCAGAACTAATGTAAACTTTTTTTTTTTTTTTGCTCAGATTTCTACAGTTATATTCATTATTTAGCAAATTACATCACGTTTAGTCTAGGCACTGCTAGGGCACACATTGCAAATGGGGAGGAGAAACACAAAAAGTTTTTATTTCTTCTGTGCTGTTTTGTTTGTGTAGATAAGCATATTGCTTATGTATTTTTTTTAGGATAGATGGACCATTTACAAGGATTTAAAAGTAATTACTGGAAACAATATGTTAATGTTTTTTGAGTAGTAAGTTTCAAATGTGTACCCAATTTTTGCAAACTTTATGCCTAAAAGTTTCCAGTAATATATCTGTAGACGTACAGGGTACTAGGACATGATGACTGAAATACAACTAACCATGTGCTTTTCAATTAAGATAAAAAGGAAGATAAAGGATCTCAGTCGCAAGCAATTCAAAATATAAGTATTAAAAAAGAGCAGGAAGAATCTAGTGATGAAGATGAAAGCGGTGATGAAACAGGAGGAGCACCCACACAGTTATGTGCAGAGGTGAACATTTTTTTTATTTAATTTTTTTTTTAAATAACCACTAATCATATAAAATAACACTAATGGTAAATTTTAGAAACCTCATCATTAATTTTTCAAAATCCTGTTTAATTTTTTTTTTTTTTTTTTTATAACTGTGCTCCATTATTTAACCAGCTGGCAGTGATAGCATACTATAATTTCTAGAACACATTTTCTATAAACAGAACTTTGTTAACACTGCAGTGATTTTATGGGAATTGAAGTTCAGTGGGTTGGGACATTGTATTTTTCAGTAGTGTTGTAACTTTTGAAATCTGTTTGTTTGTGTGTGCTAGTCCTTTGTTCTGCATTTTGGCTGTGAATAAATAACTTCTTTTTTCTTGAAGGAACACTCGAGGCACCATAACAATTTCATCAAAATAATATTGTTATGGGGCCAGCAGGTCACAGGTTAATACCTGAAGGGATTAAACCATTCTAGAACAGGTTTGCATTTGTTTTTTTGTTTTTTATGAACGGGGAGCTACTGATTGGCTTAGAGCATCAGCTGACTGCTCTACTAATCAGCTGCACCTCTGACCAGCAACACTCCACTCTTCCTTAAAGTCAATTTCAAAAGCTGGCTGGCGCTGAGGGAATTGGCTATCCGGCGTGGAAGACAGCCTTTTGGGGTTAAACAGTTCGAGAAATGTTTAACCCCTTCAGATTAGAAAGTGCCCAGCAACCTTCGGGCACCATGACCATTTAATTTCCATTTAGTTGCTAAGGTGCCTGGAGTGTTTCTTTAAGCAGCCTTGTAAGATATTAAACTGTACATTTTATATGTATATGTGTGCGGTTGCTTTGTTATACATTGAGTATACATTTGAGGTATCTAGAGAAATTAAACAAATGTAAAACTAATTTTACAATTAGTTTTTTTTTTTGTTTGTTTTTTTTCACAATTAATTTTATCACGCTTTGATTGATCACTGCTTATACTACACTTTTTATTTATTTATTTTTTTATGCACACACTGGCTTATTACTACACATACAGGCTAAATATTTGTAATTCACTTGTGAGTTCTCCATAAGACTCAGTATAGTGGATGACTCCAACTATGTTTGTTATACAGTCTATTTAAAATCATTTGTGATTTTTTTTTTTTTAATTTTTTTTATTTATTTATTTTTTTTTTTTTCCACCCCAGTTCCTTAAAGCTGTGATGGATAAGGATTATAAATTGGCTCAGAAGCTATGTCAGATGTGTAAGTATTGAAACTACAATTGCAATTTATTTATTTAAATTTAGTTCAGATGATGTTCATGTAAACAAAAATGTTTTCATTCTAAATGGTTTGGGAGATAATTTTGCAGGTTTCCTTTCTTCCTTTGAATGTATGGTGACTCCTCAAACTCTGCAACAGTTGTAAGCAGAAAACACACTTTCTTTCAGGTACCAACCTATTCCCAGGATACCAAGAGAACGTGCATGCAATGTATGTTATCTCTTTACACATAGACAAAGATCCCTTTTAAGATCTCTTCTAAAAGAGAACTAACAGCAGTGTCTCGCGATTTCTATGCGCCAAACTTGCTTCGAACTCTTCCTAGAGATACAGTGTGCTGACTGCTTGAGTTGTTGGATGTGATTAAACTGCAACATTTTGAGGCACAGTTAATTGATGGACCAGGTCATGGTTTAGGGGTAGGCGTCATTTACCTATTTCAAGCATAAAACCTAATATCTTCTCTCTATAATGCCATGTGTCTGTGTATCCAGAAAACACACAATCTAATGATACCTTACGTGAGCATGTACATTCATTGTGTCTCATATGCCAGGCAGTGCCTTGACATCCTCATATATGATGTAAATCACTTAAGCCATGGGCATCAAAGGCTCATTGATGAATGTGGGGTGCAAAGGATAGTCAGTCTTGTTAGATCTCACAGAAGAGCTATTGTAACTCAAATTGCTTAAAATCGTAAGTTGTCCATAATAGAAAGGTACCAGAACACACTGCACAGAACGCACAATGTATCGCTGTTTGATCCGTATGGAGCTACACAGCCACAGACCAGTCAGAGTGCCTATGATGACACCTGTCCACCACCAAAAGTGCCTTTAATAGGGTCATGAGCATGAGAACTGGACCACAGAGCAATGGAAGAAGGCTGCCTGGTCTGATGAATCATGTTTTCTTTTATATCAGGGGGTTGGCCAGGTGCTTGTGCTTCGTTTACTTGGGGAAGAGATAGCAGCAGGATGCACTATGGGGAAAAGGGCAGGCTGGCAGAGGTTGACAGAGGCTGGCAGTGTTATGTCTCCATTCCGTCAAAAAAAATCATTGAAGACTCACTTGTTTAGGAAAGCATATCAATTAAAATGCTAATAGCTTTTCCTCCCCGCACCTTGTTAACCCATCCTGCTTCCAATCTTGCAACCGTATCATCCATAAAAACTAACCCTTCATTGTAAACTATTCTAGCATCCTACTTTTCCCGTACATTAAATACATCCTACACTTACCTCTTGCGTCACTTTACACCACTCCATCTAGAATGTAATTTTGTTTGAGCAGGGCCCTTTACAACCTCTGTCCCTGTGCGTCCAACTCATCTTCTTGCAAACACTTGTCTGTTAGTCCACCCATTGTTGGCACTTTATAAATAATAATAAAAAGAAGTCCATAGACAAATGTGGGATGCATAAGACGTTGCAATCCTAACTTATTTATTTTGTGTATGTGTGTTGTGGGCAACAAAGTGTATCATTTCAAAAGGGGAGATATCTTTCTAAAATTTTATGAGGGGAAATATAGAAAGCATATGCCTTATTAGTATTTTATATGTTTGAATTGAACACATTGAGATCATTATATAACTTTTGTTATTTTCCGTTTTTCAATTCTTTGGTTAATACTGTTAAATCATTCATGTAATTCCAAATACATCTGATACTGTGGTATTGATGTGTAACCATTATTTTTTATTGCAGTACTTCTATATGAACCAGAAAATCCTGAAGCTAAAGAGTTTTCCCCACTAATTGAAGAAATGTTGCAAATTGGTAATTATACAGGACGTTTTTTGCACATTTATCCGTATGAAAGTATAGGGTTTAAACCATGGTGGTTTAAAGTATGGGGGTGCTGGCTTTTCACACATCTCATTCCAAAACCATGTACATTAATGTAGTTAGACCAGTGGTTCTGAAACTAGTCCTCAAGGCACCCCTACAAATCCAAGATTTAGGGATTATCCACATGTGTCTAAAGTGTTTTTAGATAATAAAAAACCAACCTTAGACTCAACTGGGTAAACCCTAAATCCTGGGTTGGTAGGGTGGTTGGGGTGCCTTGAAGACTGGTTTGGGAACCATTGTGTTAGAGCCTTCCATCCTAGACTTTTCGTATGAACCTGCTTGGGAGAGACTTGTCGTGCTGAAACCAGAAGGATTTTCTCTTCTGTTAGTAGCAGAGAATGTCTACAGCAGGACTGGGCAAAGGGTAGATGTTGTAGAACTGTAATGCCTTGATACTTTGCTAATTTTTGAATGGCAAAACATCAGAAAGCCACAGTTTTGCAAAACCTGTAATGTGCAGTTTGCCCACCCCTAGTCTATGGTACCCATATAGGATGTAGTGTAGCATTGGGGTGTTACTTCTCTGGCAGTTGGTAACCTAGCCAACACCTTCACAACACTTTTCATAGGCAAAACTGACAAACTGGGAGAGAGAACAATTGTGAGATAAATACTTTGGAGAGAGGAGGAAAGTATAGGGCAATTGGAAAGGTTAATCGAACTACAAGAGAGTTAAGCAGGCCCCATTCAAGTGTTACCTTATATTTTACAGTGACATTCCAGTGTTCCTATCATTCTCTGATCAATTTGCATGTAAAGGTTGTACAAAGAAAGACATGTGAATGAGGAATTCAAACCTTAATCTGCCATAAAGTAAATAATGAATATATATATATTGTAAGCATTATGGTGGAAAAGTAAATTTCGCATGAATAGCATTGAGGAGACCATGCGGATGCAGATTTATACCAAGGAGGGGAACAGACTTCATATATTTTTACGATCCTTCAATTGTTAGCATTGTTTATTGCACAAAAAGCTAATTTAAAATACTTTTGTCAATATTAACATGTTGTAGAAGCTCAACAAAGTGATACTGAAGATGAAGAAGATGATGATGATGAAACAGATGAAGAAAGCTATTCTAGTGAATCTAGCGAGGACAGTTCCACAGGAAACTCTGAGGATTCAAGTGAAGATGAAAGTGATGATTAGATAAGGGGATATGTACTGTTAATGTTTTCTAATGGTGTTGGCTATGATATAAGTTAGAAAAGATATGTTCTACCATAAGTATTATACCAGTGGCACAACATTAGGAACAGCATGTTCTACTCTAGATCTTTTGGTATTCAAATTATGTATAATACTTGGGAATCCTGGAAACATCACTACCTCAGCAAGTCACCGTCATAGAGTAACAGGGCAGTACAGATGTCTTCTCTCTCTAACTGACACAAAGGGGAAGATACATCGTATCTCTGATTCCGAGAACACACATTGAGAGGGAAAACCATAGTGCAGACTTCTGGTATTACTTTTCTGAGCCAGACATAGATTTACTCTGGCATTCTTGCTGAAAAGGGCAGTTCTCATGATGCATAAACTCTAAAGTTCCCTTCTCAATATCAGTAAAGATGGGTTTAAATTGAACTGTCTCTGAAGTTTAATATTGTAGTTAAAGACCAGACAGGCGCCTTATACTACAAAAAAAAAAATATATATATATATATATATATATATATATTTTTTTTTATTTTTTATTATTATTTATATATATATATATATATAATTTAGACACACAAATGCACATAACATTTTTATGTACTGTTTAATTTGTGAAATGTATGTAAGGGTTTTTTAGTACATGAAATAATTTCGTGCAATTTGGAGGCTCAAGTTGGGTCAGACTCACCTAGGTATGTATTCAGAACTGGAACTAAATTATTTTGTCTACTGCTAGCATAATCTTTCAAAAAGCATAACATTAATAAATACAGTGAAATGGGGTCCACCGGTGGGTGGAGGAAGCCTAAGATAAAGTACTTCATTTAATTTTCCATCTTTCCAAAGCACAGGGTTGGAAAAGCCACAGATTTGTCCACATGAAATGATTTTTAACTTCACCACATTGTCTATTCCACACTCTATCCTCTTCTCTGGGTCATAGTTTACTCAAAAAAACACCATTTATTTCCTGCACTTGAGGCCTTGAGGATTTCTACTCCATTTTTTTGTTTTCTTTGTGTAATGCTTTTCCTACTGGAACATATTTCTAATTGTTTCATTCAAATTTGCACAGTCAGAGGCAAATGCTGAATATGCACCCAATTTGCTCCTTGTAAGTACTCAGATTGCCATTTGATCAAATGTGGTTCTTGGGTACAAATCTTAAATTGTAGAGGTGCTTTAACAGTTTAGTGATAAACCCTGAAGTGTGTTGTTTAGGTGTGAGTATACATTTAAGTGTATTTATTGTAAATTTCCTGCATTTTTACAAAGTAAATATGTGTATTCTCATATTTGTGTATCTAGTTTATTTGCTTTGGAATGAATTGTATTTACCATGAATGTTCATAAAGACTTTTAAGTAAAATCCACTATTATGTATGTATGTGTGTGTGTGTTGGTATCTGCAAAACTAGATCAAAAACGTTATGGCGGTTCATAGAGTCTTAACGTCAAGGTTGTTGAAAGATAGAATCCTGATTTTACAGGAGATGGGATTTAGAATAGAGGATAACCGATTGATGGATAAGCTCACAGCGATAGTTCATAACTCGGTGAGCAGGTACTGAAAAGTGTGAGAACCATAGGAGGATAACCTAACCTAACCTGATCTAAGAGAAGTGGAAAAGACAGGGGGCCTTCCTGGAGGAGGTAAATATAAGCTGTTCCAAAAGCTGAAAATACCTATATCCTTGTGTTCGAAAAGACTTGTTTCACAGGGAAGTTAAATTGTTTTAAACGATGTTTATTGTACTCTTATGTAAAATCTGAGGCCAAGAAGTCCTACTTGATACTATTATGCTTCTGCTGCCTCTTTAACTAAATAAAAAATTTTAAAAAATAAACAAGACTTAAGGATCAACTAATAAAATAATCTGTGGACTTTTTTAATGCTTAATATTCGTCTCTGTAAAGGAAAAGTAATAAGTAAGATAAGTAATGCTACAAAAATGTTTTTATTTTCAGTCTTTTATTTTGCTAATTTGTTTAGTATCAGAACATGAGCAGCGTGTATATTATTCTCAGATTTTGCTTTTCTGATAGCCCTTGATGCTATGGTTTACCAGATATAACATAACATCTTTTTATACATTAATATCTCTTGCTTTATACAGAATGAGAGGTCTGCAAACCGTTCTTTCTGTTCCTTTTCCAGCCTACGGAGGCACCATAGAGAGGTATCATATAAACACATTATCAAGGTTTAGTACATTTCAATGTCTTCTACACATGGTCTCAAGACCTGCAGCAGAATATCCAGCTGTGCAGAAGCACAAAACTTGTTCAGTCTCTAAAATATATCAGAGAATAAAAGTAGACCTTAAAGCAAGCATGTCAAACTCAGTCTAGCATGGCCACATAAACCAGGTTTAAGTTTATGTGGGCTGCAACAACAAAAATTTTTTTTTTTTTTTGAAAAGTACAGTATTTAAAAAAAAGAAAAAAGCACCCCCCCCCCCTCCTAAACCACAGCACCCCTCTCTACTAAATCCCAGTCATCACCCTCTACTAAATCCCAGCACCCCCCTCTAGCCAGATGGCGCCGTCCACACCCTGTGCCAAATCTGATCCTCCTGCTACTTTTTGAAACCCTGTGAAAGTGGAGCACGTCGATGTCGCGTTGGAATGTGACGTGGCATTGAGTGCCTCCAGGTACTCCACTGTCCAGTCGCATCCAATGCAACACTGACCAACCCACACACTCTGACAGACACTCGCATACAGAGACACACTCACTGACACACATATTCACAGACATACACACACACACATTCTTACACACATTTTCTTTATTGCTCCCTATCTTTGGGAGCCGATGTGGGGCCTCTCCCTGGGGTCCAGTGGGGATCTTCTACCTGCTCCTCACTGCTCCCTTGTGCGCAGCTTAGTGGTTCCTGAACATGATGTCATTTTATTTTCTGGTGCCCGGCTTCACCACAGGGGAGCAGTGAGGAGCAGGAACACAGAGCTCCCTCGCTGGCCATCCTCCAAGTTTTAGTAGAGAAGGCACCTGCAATGTGGGGAAAGCAGGTGACTACTCTGCTATAACACTAAGCATGCATTCGCCCGGCCGCAAATATGTCCATTGTGGGCAGCAGTTTGACATGCTTGCCTTAAAGGAACACTCCAAGCACAATAACCAGCCGAAAACTCTGAGCAAAGTCCAGCGTTGCAGGGCTTAGCTCATTAAATGAGAGCGATCAGCAGACGCTTGCAGCCAATGAGCTGACCCTGCACTGCCGAACAGGGCCGCCATCAAATATTTTGGGGCCCCTGACAAAGCACAAGGTCTGGGCCCCCCTTCCTTGCCCCGGGTCCGCCCATGCCCCAGCTAGTCCGCTGACAATGATGCAGGACTGAATGTGGTGTGTGTGTGTATAGTGGAAGTGAATTAGAATGTGTGTAATGGATGTAGTGTTTGTGTGTATTAGATACTGTTTGTGCAGTGAATGCAGAGTGTGTGTTTGTGTAGCAGATGCATTGTGTATAGTGAATGCAGAGTGTGTTTGAGTAGTGGATGTAGTGTGTGTTTGTGTGTACTAGATGAAATGTGTTTAGTGGATGTAGTGTGTGTGTATTAGATGCAGTGTCTGTGTATAGTGAATGCAGAGTGTTTCAATTTGTGGTGGATGTGGTGTGTGTATAGTGAATACAGGATGTTTGTGTAGTGTATGCAGTGTATGTGTTGTGTTAGTGTATGCAGTGTGTGTGTAAATGTGCAATCTGGGGGTGGGATGGTGAGGAAGGGGCATTTTCACATTAAGTTTTTTAATTTTAGATTAAATTAAATGTTTCTCCCCCCTCCCTGCTTCTTACCTGTGTCCAGGGAGGTGGGAGATTCCATCACTGGTGGTCCGGTGGCATGGTGGAGCCCCCGGCTCCCTATAACCATAGAGGGGGCCCAGCACACTGCCTCTACTCTTTTCTTCTCCTCTCTTCTAATAACTCTTGTGAGACCTGCGGCCTGCGTGCCGCGTTGCCATGGCAACGCTCAGAAGGCTGATGGTCTCACGAGAGTTATTAGAAGAGAAGAGTAGAGGAAGTGTGCTGGGCCCGCTCTGCGGTAACAGGGAGCCGGAGGCCCGCGGCTGCACACATAGATGGAAATATTCGCTATCTATGTGTGCAGAAAGTGGGGCCTGGGACTGCCAGAGCAGTTCATGGTTGTCACCCCCTGATGCCGGCCCTGCTGCCGAACTTTGTTTAAGAGGGATAAATGAAGCTCCTAAGCAAAAGTTTCCGTCATTCCTAGAGGCAAGAAGTGCACCCGGCGTACCCCAGGTGAGAACTCAAACCGTTCTAAAAAGTTTTGACTACTTACAATGGGGGTCTCAAGGCACCATAACTACTAAAGTGTTTTCGAGTGGTTATGGTGCTTGGAGAGCTCCATTTAAATAACATGAAGGATATTTAAAAGTGGAGTAAAAATTATTGTCACAAATATTACATATACAGGCCACCCAAATGGCTTGACAGAGCAGATTACCTTTTTATGCATTACTTCTACCAGACAGCTTTTTTCTATTGACAAAACTGTCCAATCTGAAAAAATGAATCTGTTAATATCTTCTGTTAATGTGCAAAACATGTAATATAAACTGAGATCACACAGCTACCATTGATTTTACAGTTTATAAATATCTTGAAAATCCCTGTTAGGAGAAATGCTGCTATGTGTGAGGTCTAACAAATAAGATAATCTGTTACCTACAACTCTATTTTAGTAAGTTTTCTAATACATAAAAAAATTGCAACTATATACATTAAATTGATTTGGATGAAACTATATTTTTCAATTACGGTTGGAACAGTGATAATTTGATATTGCGTAATGTTAACAAACTTTTTTTTTTGTGTGTGTGTCCATGGTGCATACTGCTTGAGATAAGTCTTATGTAATTTGAAAGAATTTGCGGCGTGTAAGCGTTGTATTTAATATATTGTGATACATAGAGTCTCATCCAAAGCCTTGATACTGAGATTTAAGCAGATAAACTCTAAAATCTTGCAGATTCTTGCACAGTTATTTACTAATGTGTGAATTCTAAGTGATTTTCAAATTTAGGACCAGAGTAGCTAAACTGAAAGCCTAGCTTTCTTTTTTTCTGTTTGGCTATTGTGAGCTGCAATTTGAAATTCACTTTGAATTCTCACTTAAAGTGAATAACTCTGTCCGAGTCAATCTTTACCCTTTCCTGGCCTTAAAGGAACTCCACACACAAAGCACTTCAGCTAAAAATGGGGGGCACAAACACCTCACAAGCTGTCAATCAGAAAGCAAGGGATATAATGTTTCCATATCTGTTAGCTCCACCGAGCTAAGGGAAGTGGCAGGCACACTGTGCTAACGCGCACCTGCCTTCCCCTTTTCCCAATGAGCTGCATTACAGGTCACTGAGAAACAACAGAAAGCCACCATCACAACTTCTCAATAAGACGCTTCAGATTGGACTTTTTCCCAGCAAAGTCTTTCCCTAAAAATCTGTGCTTGGTAAAAAGGGGAGGGCTTGCATAGGCTGCGGACAAGAGATCTGCATGCTTCATGAAGCTGTTTTTTGTTACTGTTCCCCCAATTAAACAAATTATTGCATGTTGTCATTAGTGGGTATCTCAACTAAATAGTGATTTTTAAATATATAAATATTTTGGGTGAATGGAGTGTTCCTTTAATTACCCTCTCATACCAATGTGACAAATGACTAAATCTGTTGTGAAATCCCATTAAATTGTGTTTTCGGCAGCCAGTGCCATGTATCGTATCCTTTTTATTTCACAATAATTACAGAGGGAAACTATTTACTGTAGACATAGAAACAAAATCCTTGAAGCTAGAGAGAAATCAAGTGGGTTATAAGTATGACAGCTATATGTTAACCTCATAACAAGCAACATAATATACTTGGTTGTCATGAGGCAAACTGCTGAATATTATATTGAAACGATGATGGGTGGTCAAGTGCTTTTGTTGTAGCACAGAAGAAGGTGTTTTTATTTATAGCACAGGACAAGCAAAGAACACAGCAGTTCCTGCCTCTATAAGTGCTTTAATCATACATATGCCTTCTGCATTCTCTATCGATTTTGTCTCTGTGATAAATAAAGTTCTCTGTTTTTCATTTTAGATATTCTACTTTTTGGAATTCCTGTTCCAGGTTGAGTAATTTGTATCATTGGTTTTTAATGTTGGATTGAACATGGTGTCTTTTTTTATTATTTTGACATTTGACAATAATGGAAATGTCAAATGCTACAGATTGCCAAACCCACTGGAATTTGGTCTTAAGTTGAGTTGAGTTGGTCAGAGTGCAGTAGATGATGTATGCACTGGGTGCCTGAGCCTGTAGCTCGCCATGCCCAATACAAGACTATAGTTAACTGCTTGTTTTGCATCCCAAATCCACCAAAAGGCATCTTCTAGTAATTCCCATCGTCTTCTCTCCCAATCAGAGCTGTCCTCACTGAAGCCTGGTTCATGCACAGTGTGAGATAGTAAAAGGAAATCACACCTTTATCCATCTCATGTTCTCATCCACTTTGTACTGGCCACTAAATCTTGACAATCATCAGAGTAAAATGGCAAAAAAGGTGAAAATAGCCAAACAGTGAGTATAGCTGGGTTGTAGAATTTTTCCAGATTAGCTTTTTCTGTTTTTATTTTTGCCATTCGGTTTTTTTATTTGCTACCATGCAGAATTTAGTAAAATTAATCTTTGTATAGTGAACCCAGATCAGCAGGTCAATAGCAAAAAAAAATATGATGGGGTTGTCTAA